GAGAGAGAGAGAGAGAGAGAGAGAGAGAGAGAGAGAGATTATGCACACAAACGAAGAAGGGGCAAGAGAAAGAGGAGAAATCCCAAGCAGACTCTATGCTAAGCACAGAGCCCCAAATGGGGTTTAATTTCACTAACCATGAGATCATGACCTGAGCCGAAATTAAGAGTCAGACACTTAACTGAGTGAGCCACCCAGGCATCCTCCCCACCAAATTATTCATAATTGTTACTCAGCATCCATATTTGAATTTCAGAGAACCAATAAAATGGAACCTGTCTTTAACATGATCTTTGGGGCGCCTGTATGGCTCAGTTGGTTGAGCATCCAACTTTTTGATTTTGGCTCAGGTCATGATCCCAGGGTCATGGGATGGAGCTCCATGGCAGGCTCTGTGCTGAGCATGGAGCCTACTTAAGATTCTCTCTCTCTCTCTCTCTCTCTCTCTCTCTCTCTCTCTGTCTCTCCCCCCAGCTCCCCTCTCCCCTGCTCACATGCTTTCTCTAAAAATAAAATAAAAAATAAATAAAATGTTGATTAATGTTTATACCTTTTCCCCCCATTTAACAGGAGTGTGTTCTCCCCCCAGTAAAACAAAACACACATTTATATATCACTTATCTACAAATGTGTGACTTTGTGTGACCAAAAATCATGACTTCTTATGTTGGTTGACTTCTTCAAGTTAAACCCTGACCTTTTATTTATATATTAAATAATATGAAAATATTAAATATCAGATATATGCATCATATTGTTATCTTTCTTTTTTTTAAAGATTTTATTTGTAAGTGATCTCTACACCCAACATGGGGTTCAAACTTACAACTTATAACAAGAGTTGCACGCTCTAATGACTGATATGCACACCTTATTTCTGATTATATATGCAATGCATAAACACTGTAGAATTTTTATGAAGTACAGAAAAACACAAAGAAGGAAAATCTTCCATGATTTTAGCACCCAGAGATAACCAATATAAACATTTTGGTACATATTCCTAACTTTTTCTAAGCATATATATTTTTAAAACAAATTTGTAATCATATTCTACATCCTGTTTCATGAATTGCTTTCCTAAGTATGTTAGAATCTACTTCTTCCTAAGTTATTGAAAATACTACCCAACGCCCAATAGGATAGTTTTCTTTCACCAAATTATTTCAAAATCAAATATTTACTTTGATAAATATTTATTAATATGTAAATTAATAAATTTATATTATAAGCCACTACGATAAAGAGATAGTGGTTCTTTTTGGGGGAGAAGAAGGGTGAATAGGGTAGCTATGATAAATAATGCCTCAATGTGGACTAGTCAGACATATCTGAAGGTATTCTGTGAATTTACTGAGAAGCTTACATTGTACTTGACAAATTTGACTATCAAAATAAAATGAAACTGATGGGACAACAAAAACCTTTAGAAGAAAAGGTTTCACAAAACATTAATACTAAAAAATGTACTTTTATCATATAGTAGAATGACATTTATTTGTAAATAAACAAATGGGCTAAACCTTAATCTGAATCTCTTAATCTTTAATTATTGTCTGATATAAAAATGCTGGTCTAAATTTAAGGAAGATTTCCAAAAAATACACAAGGAAGAGAATCATGAATGATTTTTTTTGAGACCTGAGCCACCTTATTGATAGGTGATTTATCAAACTCTTCAGATAACCAGAGTACCTGAGGGCCAGAAAGGTTGAATGATTTACCCACCGTGACACTATAAACCTATCAAGTATCAGGAAACAATCCCATGTCTACTGGTTCCCAGACACAGTACTTCATACTATACATGTTATATAAATATCCCTCCCTTTCTCCAATTGATTTGTTTGGTTCTGAGGAAAAGATACTCTAATATCAAAATGTTATCTTGGTTAATTCTGGGATGGTCACAAATTAATAATACTGAATCAATCACCTCTTTTTCCATAGCAGCCTGATGTTTTTTGATAAGTTTCTCCATCTCTGCAGCAAAATTGTTACGCTGAGTTTCAAGATCTTTGTCTAATCTGAGGCGATGTTCATCCATCTCAGCCTTTAGCTTATTTTCCAGAGTCATCAGTTGCTTTTGATGTTGCCGCCTCATTCTCTTATAGCCAGACATCTGTTCTCTAAGCTCAGAGTCCTGCTCATGTTCTTGCATTTGCCTTGTAACCTAGACATACAAACAATAGAGAAAAAAGAATAAAATAAAGCAACACATTTCTTTCAAAAGCATTTTTTTTTTTAATTTTTTTTTTCAACGTTTATTTATTTTTGGGACAGAGAGAGACAGAGCATGAACGGGGGAGGGGCAGAGAGAGAGGGAGACACAGAATCGGAAACAGGCTCCAGGCTCCGAGCCATCAGCCCAGAGCCTGACGCGGGGCTCGAACTCACGGACCGCGAGATCGTGACCTGGCTGAAGTCGGACGCTTAACCGACTGCGCCACCCAGGCGCCCCTCAAAAGCATTTTAAGACCACTCTGCTGTTAACTAAGCAGGCAATTAATGTAAAAGATCCCATTTAGCCAAAACAATCTTGAGGAGCATACAAAAATTGGAAGACACACACTTCAGCAACCAAAACAGTGTGGTACTGGTATAAGGACAGGCTGAATAGACCAAAGGAACAGAATAAAATCCAGAAACAGAGCCACACATAGTTAATTGGATTTTCTACCAAGGAGTCAAGTTAATTAAAAAAGGAAAGTGTTTTTTAACAAATCCTGCTGAGGGGCACCTGGGAGGCTCAGTCAGTTAAGCTTCAGACTCTTGATTTCGGCTTAAGTCATGATCGCACGGTTCAGTTTGGGAGATCGATCCCCGAGTTAGACTCCGTGCTGGGCACAGAGCCGGCTTAGGATTCTCACTCTCTCTGCCCCTCCCTAGCTCACACTCTCTAAAAAAAAAATCCTGCTGAAACAACTGGTTATTTGTATAAAAAATAAAGAAATAAACCTTGGCTCATATATCATTCCATATACAAAAATTACTTTGAAAAGAATCATGTGACCTAAACATAAAACTCAGAATCATAAAGCAAAAGAAAACATGGGACTACCATCATTACTTGGGTAAACAAATATTTCCTGGACAGGATACAAAAGGTACTGATTATAAAGAAAAAAACGTATAAATTGGATTTTTAAATTGAGCTAAAAATTCACATAGTATAAAATTAATCATTTTTAAAAATTTTCTTTATTTGTAAGTAATCTCTACACCCAGTGTGGGTGATGGCATTCTTGACCCCACATGTCATACAGATTCATGGGCCACTGCATGGGATTTATAAAGTCTGCTTATGTAGCTGATAACTCAGATAACTTTTTTACTCAGATAAATCTTTTTTTACTTCCTGTCATATTTTCTAACAGCCTACTTTTCATATGATATCTTAATGTAATTTCTTTTTATCCAGTGTATCCTTTATCATGTTTTGGTCCTACTTAATCTGACTGATAAGGGTAATAAGCACCCCACTACAACAACATCCTTGTTGACATATGATCCTTTTTTTAAGTTTTTTTAAGTTCATTTATTTATTTTGAGAGAGAGAAAGACAGGGCAGAGGAGGGAGAGAATCCCAAGCAGTCTCCACACTGTCAGTGCAGAGCCCAATGAAGAGGTCAAGCTCACAGACCTTGTGATCATGACCTGAGCCAAAATCAAGAGTTGGGACACTTAACCAACTGAACCAGTCAGGCACCCCCATAATCCACTTTTTATTGTTATTTGGGAAATCAGAACTATATTTTGAATACATCAAACTGAATTACTTGCCATTTCGCAAACATTCCCCCATTTTGGTTAGCCTTGGTTATTTCCTTACTGTTAATTCTTATATTGTAGAAATAACTTTTTCTTCCTCTCTGTGCCTAAAACCAACTAATTATTAAAATCTCAAACAATTTCTTTTATAAATACTTCCTTTATGCCACAAACCAAAAATAATCTGAATTCCTATTTAGTACCTTCTAGCCCTCTTAAGCATTTGATATATTCTAATATATTAGTTATTTCTGTACACCGTGAAGACATTACCAGTTTAATGTCTCTCAGAGTATTCTATATAGTATCTTATAAAAGGCAATTAAATGTTGAATGGGTATTTTATAAAATAATCCTCAGATACAAAAAAATAAGACATAGTCATAACCTGAGTATAGATGCCACAATCCAAAATGAAAAATGTATTTCTTCTTAAAAAATATTTATTTATTTTGAGAGAGAGCAAGCATGCAAGCATGAACAGGGGAGGGGCATAGAGAGAGAGGATGAGAGAGAATCCCTAGCAGGCTCCTTGCTGTCAGTGCAGAGCCCAACATGGAGCTTGATCTCATGAACCGTGAGATCAAGACCTGAGCCAAAACCAAGAGTTGGATGCTTAACCTACTGAGCCACCCAGGCGTCCCTGAGAAATGTATTTCTAATTCAAGGGAAGAACATACCAGTGATGCTGTCCGTATAGTAGCAAAGTGTTCCCGATTACGATAGTGTGATTTATGACGAGACACTTGAGGTGGAGATTGTGGATCTGATGCTCTTGTTCTAGGATCTCCCTCTTCTCTGTAATTTTCTTCCTCCTAAGCAAAGAAGGAGACAATACTATTTGAGGTGAACAAATACAGTTCACTTGAACTTTCAAGAAAATTTAGAGACCATGTGGTCAATTTATCTTAAAGAAATAATTTTAAAAAGTAAAAACAAAAATTGAGAATGCTGACATTTTATTTTCAATATAATTAGAATCAGGAAACATTATTCCCTAAGCGTATGAAACAGCACACAGATTTAGGATAAGGAAATATATGAGGTTAGATTTATATCCTAATTATTATATATAAAATGGAAAAGGTTTAATAATTTTAAACAGCAGTCAAAAATTAATTACTCTAAGGCTCTTGGGTTTTGAAAACAATAATATATCTTTTTTTTTTAAAACAATAATATATCTTAAAAATACTTTTATAATACTTCTGCCTTCTGTCCAAAGTAAGTAATCAAAAAGTAACTGTAAATCTTTTAAGAAATGATGTCTTTCCTTATATATAGCTTAGTTCATTAACTGAAGAGGAAATAAATTAAGTAGCAACCAACTAATTGTGGGAATAATCTTATTTTACTGCTGATTCTGCTGCCTAAGGATGCAAAAATTAAACATGAGTTTGTCCTGAATAATACCACCACTCAACTAAATCATTCCTAAGCACTATTTCTGTGAGTGTAGTAAAATATATATAAAATTTGCCATTTTAACCATGTTTAGATGTACAATTCAGTGACAATAATTATATTCTCAATGTTACACCACTACCACCATTTCCAAAACTTTTCCATCACCCCAAATGGAAATTGTATCTATTAACAAAAACTCTCCATTTTATCCTCCACTCAAGTCCCTGGTAACCACTAATCTACTTTGTGTCTCTACGAATTTGCTTATTCTAGATATTTTATGTAAGTGGAATTATGCAATATTTCCTTTTGCATCTGGCTTAATACCCCTTAGTGTTAACATTTCAAGGTTTACTTGCGTTGTAGCATATATCAGAATTTCGTTCTTCTTTATAGCCGAATAATATTCCATTGTATGTATATATCATGGTTTATTTATGTATTCATCTGTTGATGAATACTTGGGTTAGTTCTACCTTTTAGTTCTTGTGCCTAATAAGCTTCTAGGTAATACTATAAGCTGTGAAGTTAAAAAGGAAGTATTCCTATTAGTTACTAAAAACAAGTTACCTGACTCTCAAATGTTTTCAAGAAAATTAAAAATTTTGCACTCAAAAGTATGAAGAATAATGTAGCAAAAATCATATTTCCTTTTTTTCTAAATATAATTTACTGTCAAGTTAGCTAACATACAGTATATACAATGTGCTCTTGGTTTCAGGAGTAGGTTCCCATGATTCATCGCTTACATACAACACTCAGTACTCATCTCAACAAATGCCCTTCTCAATGCCCATCACCCATTCCCCCCGCCCTGCCCCCTCCTTCAAGCCTTAGTTTGTTCTGTATATTTAAGTCTCTTATGGTTTGCCTTCCTCTCTGTTTGAAACTATTGTTTTCTCCTTCCCTTCCCCCATGGTCTTCTGCTAAGTTTCTCAAATCCCACATATGAGTGAAAACATGGTATCTGTCTTTCTCTGACTGACTTATTTCACTTAGCATAATACCCTCCAGTTCCATCCACATTGCTGCAAATGGCAACATTGCCAAGTAGTATTTCTCACTGCCAAGTAGTATTCCATTGTATATATGAACCACATCTTTATTTTAAAGATGTAAACATTACAGACAATGCAAGTCACTTTTGATCATTACCCACTGCAATCCTTTTTCCTATTCCCCAAAGACAACCATTATCATGACTTTCAAGTGTATACTTACTATTTGTAAATATTTTAAATACTTTATTTTTCATGAAACTAACTTCAAATTATATATTACCTAGTGTTTCTATATATGTCTTTCTTCTAAGATTTTTAAAATATTCTTTTTGTATTCTCAAAACAATAGGTTCCCAAATGCAGATATTATACTGGGAATTAACAAGCCTAATGTCACTTTAAAATAAGTTACCGAAAAATGTTCCAAAGTTCTGAAACATCCAAGACAAGCTCCTTATTAAACTAATCAGATAAAGAAAATTATTTACCAAAGCTGAAATTTTTTTTCACTGAAACCCAAATACTCACAGGTTTTAAATGGATGACAGAACTATTAGACATCACTGTGTGGTCTCCCTCCATCATATCTAGCTCACTCTTGTCATCTGAGGCATCTGGAAGACTGTTAACACTACTACTTTGGCTACTGGCACTGATGGACATACTGGGAATAGACTGATTACTTCCGACACTATTCACTGTTCCTGTCCGGCCAACACCATGATCTTGTTCCTAAGGGAAAAAAGCATTAGGTTTAAGTATCTTTATCTCTTTTGAATTGCTACTTATAATCACTTATCACAGTGCTTGGCACACAATCTTTAAGAAAGAAAATTAGAGGTCTATTGTGAGAAATTCCCTGTATTTGCCAAGACCAGGAAGGAAGTTTAGCAGCTGAAAAACAAACAAAATAAAAATGACCAACACCTAAATAACAAAAAGCCCAACCATGTCAAAAATTCAGTTAATCATTTATGGGTTATTTCCACAGTGTAGTATTTTCTCTAATTTGTCACTTTTGAAATCTATTTCTACCACACATCTCATGGGGTATAGAGAAAATTTTGCTCATTTCTCAATAACTCCCATACTTAAAATATGCACCAGTCATTTTTAATTTTATAAATAACCCCTTTTAGTTATTTTTTAAGGAAGCCTTTTAAGTATATTTTCCTTCCTCAGAATATATTATCTAGCCTATCCTTCTTTCATCAATTTAGTATTAATTCCCAACTATTTTTTGTAAATTAAAAATTATGTATTACCTATACATTTAATCACATTCGTAAGAATGTTTTATGAAGTAACCAGGCAAGCCATGTTATCTGGGCACCAAAATTCTGTAAGATACGCAAAATTTAACACAGACATATGATTATATATATATATATATATATATATATATATATATATATGTATATATATATATACACATATGTATATATATATCCCCAGCCTAAAAGAGATGCTGTTATAGATTTAACTACATTAGAATTTTATTAATTTTACAACTTTACTCAAATATTTCAGATATCTAAAAAAGCTCAAAGTAATCTTCTAGTGATCACTGTATGAACTAAAAAACAAAATGAACAACACCAAAACTGTAAGTTAAGAAAGTCTTGTATTTTCTAGTTCATTAATTATGTAGCACTATTAAAAAAGAAAAAGTAAAGTAAGTAACTATTGCTCCTGGTTTCAGAATGCAAACTGATCTCTCTGAAAAGTAGTAAAAAAGAATCAACAAATTCTGACAGGAACAAAGAAAAATGAAAATATTTAGAGTAAAAAAAGATAGCTCCACAAATATGTAGATTTCCTTGTGAGGAAGTTCTATAACATTTCTATTGCAAATTTATATTTCCATACCCTACAAAAGGCAACATGGAAAGAACTTGGCCTTGAGAGTGAGAGATACGTGAATTTGAACCCATATGAACCTATGAGAAATTAACCACTGAGCTTTGCTTTACTCATCTGTAAAATTGGTACTTTAGAACTGTGCAGATGGAATGAAATTATATAGAACTTCTGATTCAAGTATCCCTGGTGACAGAGCACAATGCTTCGTACGTAATTCTAACGACTTCTGAATGAGTACTGTCAATTTCTAGAGTCTATAATTTCAAACACTTCCAAAAGCATGTCCCATGCAATCAGGTAATAAGGCAAAACAGGGTTCAGTAGCCAAAAAATTTGATGGAGTCTAGATTAAAGTTGAATAAGTTTCTTTAATAAAAGACTTTGCAGAGCTTTATCAGGTCATTGTGTACTACGAAGGGGTTAGGTTTAAAGAATGCAAAACCTTTTTTCCCTCCTGGGATCTTACAGGACCAATATTAAGAAAACACAATCTGGGAACCACTAATATAAAACATTCATGGCAAGACTAGGTGCATAAGGAAAGAAGCCAATAAAGAGGGCTCAATATTTGAGTCATTTCTAAGTTATTACCTCTTCTTCTTCCTGTGCTTCTACTGCTGGTCCGTTATGTGCCTCCTGGAAAAGGAGTTTCTTCATCTTTCGATACTGCAGATTGTCCAGCTCTCTTACTGCATCCTTTGTCCTTTGAATGAGATCTATTAACACTGTTTCAGGGCGCTCCCGAAGAACAAACATGTGCTGGATAAAAGAAGAAGGTGAAAGTCAGGTTGAAATTTATATATATATTTTTTAATGCGTACAAATGTACCCCCTTCTCAAACAGTAGTTACTATCGTAATTAATCATAATAGATAATGCATATAATCTATAGCTATCTAATTCTACTACATTTTTGGCTTCTTAATTTACAAAATTGTCTTCTACATACACACACACACACACACACACACACACACACACACACACACTCTATGCATACTTAACTACCTCTGTGCATTTAATAGAAACATGATACCTTTGTTGGCTAAATGAAAATGCAGAGTTGAAATAAACAAAAACTCCAATTAAACACTAAGAATTAAGTTCAACAGAGCCCTAAATAAAGGCTAAAAAAGGTTTACATATTCTTAAAACCGATTTCACAGAAAAGGCATGTACAGTTCTGAGCTGTATTAGGTTTCAACAGAAATGATTTTATGGTAAATTATGGTTAAAATCAAAAATGATTTTATAGTAACATAAACTTGGATAGTATGAGTTTCTTTATATGCTGTATAAACAACACTCCATAAAACACTAGCAGTTGATTAAAAGCCATTGTATAGTGATTTTTACCACTAACATTTAATAAATTTAACCTTATCAAATACAGAAAAGTACAAAGAACAATTCTATCATTATCACTGTTACATTTTGATATATTTCTTCAGAAATTTTCTATGTATAAATTTTGATTTATAGAAAAACAGCATACAGGGGCGCCTGGGTGGCTCAGTCGGTTAAGCGTCCGACTTCAGCTCAGGTCATGATCTCACGGTCTGTGAGTTCGAGCCCCGCGTCGGGCTCTGGGCTGATGGCCCAGAGCTTGGAGCCTGCTTCCGATTCTGTGTCTCCCTCTCTCTCTGCCCCTCCCCCTTTCATGCTCTGTCTCTCTCTGTCTCAAAAATAAATAAATGTTAAAAAAAAAAATTAAAAAAAAAAAAAAAAAGAAACACAGCATACAGACTGCAGAAAGACACCTTTTGCCTTGAGTTCTGTGAAATGTCCTTGAATTCTTGTAATACTTTTTACCTTTGTTAGTTCAAAAGCATTTCTTCTTTAAAGAATTTTTTTTGCCTTTTGATTTTTTTATTACTCAAAAAACTTCATTTTTTTTATTTAGCTTTCTGATTCTGTGCTTATGCCTTCAACACTTTAACGATTTTCTGCTCCTCAACAGGAGAGCACACTTGATCCTGTCCCAAACACATATAGCACACCATAGGCCCTGCTGATGTATTTTTCGTTTTAGATAATCTCTTAAGAACTGTAAGTGTCACAGCATAAACTCCTCAAAGTCAGTCTGGGCACACACCACATGGGGATTTTGGTGCTTTCCCACCCTTCTTTGTATAAAGAAGATTCTATTACCAGGGGTTCAGGACAGCCTAGTTTTGTTAGAACCTATATTGTATGTAGGACAGCCTATGACAGTATGTCAAATGCTGGACCATTCTGAATGCCTAAAGACACCATCCCCAGAAGAGGAAAAAGCTTCTGTAAAGAATTTTAATTATATGATATTTTATTCTACTTTCACTGTCGTAAGTATTGTTATTTCAAACTCATAAACACGAGGCCTATAGATTTTTAATTCTGAGATCGCTTCATACATTAAAATTTTTTTCTATTAGCTCTTTTTATGATGAACTGTAACAGAAATATAATTAGACCAAAGGGAAAGTACCAAATAGATAATTCCTATCATTTTCAGTAAGGCTGTGCCAATACATGCTATGAACTAGCAAAATGAATACTGTATGCAGACTTGGGATCTAACCACCAAATATCCAGGTCTCATCTCATGGGTTGTGTTATCATCACCAAATCACTTCTTTGCCTATAGTATAAGAAGACAGTCAGATTCTTTTTCCTGAGCCTTAGAAAGGTTAAGGTATCATGATTTACAATATTCGGTCTTCTTATCCAAAAATAATAAATCTTAAATTTCTAAGTTTAATAGTTTTCTACATATAAACCTTGCTTATTTAGGGGCACCTGGGTGGCTCAGTCGGTTGGGCATGCAACTTCAGTTCAGGTTATGATCTCACTGCTCGTGGGTTCGAGCCCCGCGTCGGGCTCTGTGCTGACAGCTCAGAGCCTAGAGCCTGCTTCCAATTCTGTGTCTCCCTCTCTCTCTGCCCCTCTCCCACTCATGCTCTCTTTCTCCCAAAAATAAATAAATGTTAAATCTTGCTTATTTATCACTAACATAATTTCTAGCTATACTAAGCCTTTTGTTACTATTATAAATACCTATTTACCTAGGCTTTCATTTCTGAGACTATGAATGAACTTACTGCCTCAAATCCCACAATCATTACTGAAACTATATTGTTCTTCTACATACTGTGGTTCTAAATAATACAATCAAATTTCAGTTTCTTTGTATCTTTGATGTGTGTTAGTGAAAATAAATCAAACCTCTCTGAAATTATAGAACATTCATGTAAAAATGGTCTACTTAAATCTTATAGTGAAAAATCAACAATATCCTTTAGGGGCACAAGGAGACAGTCAAATCCTGCTTTATCTAGATGTTTATCTACTACTGCTTTATCTAGATGTTTTAGGAACTATATTAAGTTCAACAATGTTATTATTGCTATTAATAACATGGCCAACCTCCAAATAAAATAATCAATTTTTGAGAATAAAGAGCATACACTAATCATGTGTTTAAACTAAGTAACCAAACACATTGAAAACCGAATAGAATTTACATGATTCTTAGAATATTTTCATTGCCAAGTTAGAAAAATTATTTCCAAAAAGGAAACAGAAACATGATATGCATTTTTAACAGTTTCTTTTAAAAGCTCTTTTCTCCCACAATAATTATACAGATATATTATACACCATTTCTCTTTCTTTCATATTATTTTAATATACAACTGATAAATATATAAAGCGTGGCAGACATAAAACTTAAATGAGAGCACCTGGGTGGCTCAGTCAGTTAAGCATCTGACTTCTACTCAGGTTATGATCTCAAGGTTAATGGGTTCGAGTCCTGTGTTGGACTTTGTGCTGACAGCTCAGAGCCCAGAACCTGCTTCGGATTCTGTGTCTCCCTCTCTCTGCCCCTGCCCCACTCGCACCCTCTCTCTTTCTCAAAAATAAATAAACATTAAAATTTTTTTTTAAATTAAATCCAAAGTTAAACTTTGTTTTACTAAATTTGAAATATGACATTGTTCCACATGAATTAAAATATGGAGTTATAACTCATGAATATATTCTTGCACTTACAAATGGCCAGTTGGTAGTATTTGGAATATACAACTATATGTTCTATTCAGACATGGTACAGCAGTTAATTAATTTTGGAAAAACAAATGAAAAAACTCTAAGAAAAGTTCCAAAAGAGAAGAGTATATAAAATGAGCATTTTAGTAAAAAATTTGTAGAGCATACTTTATTATTTTTTTTTAAATTTTTTTTTTCAACGTTTTTATTTATTTTTGGGACAGAGAGAGACAGAGCATGAACGGGGGAGGGGCAGAGAGAGAGGGAGACACAGAATCGGAAACAGGCTCCAGGCTCCGAGCCATCAGCCCAGAGCCTGACGCGGGGCTCGAACTCACGGACCGCGAGATCGTGACCTGGCCGAAGTTGGACGCTTAACCGACTGCGCCACCCAGGCGCCCCAGTAGAGCATACTTTATACTGACACAAAATCAAAAAAAGAATAAAACACCTTCTTTAAATTATTTTAATTTCTTAAGGGTAGAAAACAGACCAAGTAAAACTGACCTTTAAAAGTTCCTCTGATGTAGGGCGATCTTGAGGGATTTTCTGGAGGCAAGAATCTACAAAGTTGCGAAAATAATCAGACCTATTGTAAAGGAAAGTATCAAGTGAACATATTGCTATTTCCTTTTAAAACACATCCACAAACCATACAGAGAAGATCAGCATAGTCCCTGTGCAAAGACGACATGCAAATTCATGAAGTATTCCATATTTCTGAGCAATAGGTGTTGTATGTAAGTGTCAAATTACTAAATTCTACACCTGGAACTAATTTTACACTATATGTTAACTGGAATTTAAATAAAAACTTAATTAAAGAAAACAACATCCACAAATCAAGGCATGTGCCTACTGGTGGGAGGGGGAATGGAAAAGGAATTACCAAAAAAAAAGCAGATAAAATATATTGTATATTTTATATAAATCTATGAAAATCTATTTAATTTTTTTTAATGTTTATTTATTTTTGAGACAGAGAGAGACAGAGCATGAATGGGGGAGGGTCAGAGAGAGGGAGACACAGAATCTGAAGCAGGCTCCAGGCTCTGAGCTGTCAGCACAGAGCCCGACGTGGGGCTCGAACCCACAGACCATGAGATCATGACCTGAGCCGAAGTCAGACACTTAACCGACTAAGCCACCCAGGAACCCCTATGAAAATCTACTTAAAGGAACCAATGAATCTTTACCATTTTCCAAGGACAAATTTACACAGATTATTTAAAAAATCCTGCTCCCACAAGTTAAGAAACAAAACAAACGAGCAAAGGGGGGCAGAGAGGGAAGGAGTGGGGGGAGGGGGGAGAGAGAGGCTCAAACCAAGTGGGTTAAATAAGTGATGAGGATTAAGGAGTGTACTTGTCATGATGAGCCACAGGGTGATGTATGAAATGCTCAATCACTATATTGTACACCTGAAACTTACATTACACAGTATGTTAACTGGAATTTAAATAAAACTTAAAAAAAAAAAATCCTACTCCCACATATTTAAATATCATAACTTGTTCTATATTGAGGCAAAATTAGGGAAGCCAATCTTTCTTCTTTGCATTCAAATTTAAGATAACATTCTTTTCAATTTTTTGTTTCTTTTCTCTAAGCCATCTCTTTTTTTAAAAATTTTTTTTTAACGTTATTTATTTTTTTTGAGACAGAGAGAGACAGAGCATGAACGAGGGAGGAGCAGAGAGAGAGGGAGACACAGAATCGGAAGCAGGCTCCAGGCCCCGGGCCATCAGCCCAGAGCCTGACGCGGGGCCCGAACCCACGGACCGTGAGATTGTGACCTGAGCTGAAGTGGACACTCCACGACTGCGCCACCCAGGCGCCCCGCCATCTCTCTTTCTTGTTTGCCTCTTGGATCATCTTCTCTATTGCAACTTTAGAACATCAATCTATTTGTTTTGGAGGGAGCAGTTTTACACCTATTTAGTATTCCTAAATAAGTGCATAAACTTCCATTAAGCCCAGAAAATCAATTTAGATATTTTGTAAAACATCAAAAGTCTGCAATGTATTTTTAAAAAATGCTTATTGTTCTGAGAGAGAGAAAAAGAGAGGGAGTGAGGATGAATCGGGGAGGGCAGAGAGGGAGAAAGAATCCCAAGCAGGCTCCATGCTAACATCACAGGGATTGAATGAGGTGACGAACCATGAGCTCAAGACATGATAACTGACTGAGTCACCCAGGTGCTCTAGAAGTCTGCAACATATTATTATACAATGTTACTGATGAGGGTGAGGAAGGTAGTAATAATTACTTAATCAATGTTTGTCTTTCCATATTCACATAAGATTTTAAATTCCTTGAAGGCAAGAATTCTTTTTTGAATTCCTATGTATCAAAGAGTGTAACAATAGTCTGTGTTCAATATATTTATTACTAACATATACCATGATGGTAAACTCTGTGCCAGAAGATTCCTTCTACATATCTCTAAACAGGTAACAATGATCTACAAATCTGCCTTAAATATATAATCTTAAAAAAAATAAAGTTTCACTAATTTATGTAACTACTTGCGAATTTAAAAGTATTTAGCATTTTAGATATCTCCCCAGAAGTTTTTAAATGCTAGATATACTTGAATATACTTAGATACATACACTAAAATTTTCTATCAATGATAAAAATTCTAGTTTTCTAAAACTGTCAATCTGTCCTCTATAAAGTTCTTTACATGAACGAACTAATTTTATCAAATCAAGGAAGCACTAGAACATGGGATAACAAACCATTCTAAATATAAATATCATAGTAACAATTAGAACAATCGCAAAGTTATGAATTATCTGATAATTTTGATATATCATTTTATCTATGCTTTAAACTTCATAAATTATAAACCATTCCCCCCCAAAATACCACTATAAGTTGTGGCAATCTATGTATTCTAGTTATAAAATACTGTTTAAATTAAGCTATTTATTATATAATCAGGGTTATATGTGTTCCAAAAGTTCAAAGAAAAAAATAAAATTTAAAATTTTATAAAAAGCAATACTTTTTGCTTCTCTGTGGCCTCATCTATCCTTTATTTCTGAACTGAGTTACACATATGTTACAAAAAGCAGAATATATAGAGGATAAACATGATGTAAGGGTAAAACAAACCAATTTAATATCTCTTCAAGTAATACACTTTACCTAATTGAATTAAATCATTTGATAACATTATTTAAAAAGTATTTAATTTATACAATGTTGAGTAATATATGTCCAAGCAATACTCACCATTCATTAGACTGTAATGTAGGGGATTCATTTTGGGCTATGTGATATAAGGCACTCATTGCATTCATATTAAATAAAGGAGGCTTCCTTTCCGCTGTAAAAGAAAGAAAATTTTCCTGTTAAAATATGAGCCTATTAAAAAGAAAAAATAAATAAATAAATAAAATAAAATAAAATAAAATATGAGCCTGTTATATAGAGGCATGCTTGCAAATACTGTTAAAAAAAAATTTTTTTTTTTGGAAATAGTCTCAAACTTAGCAAAAAAATTTCCAAGTAGAGCTCAAAGAACCTCTTCTTTTCTTTTTTCTTTTTAAAAAATTTTTTTAAACTTTTATTTATTTTTGAGAGACAGAGCATGAACAAGGGAGGAGCAGAGAGAAAGGGAGACACAGAATCCAAAGAAGGCTCCAGTGTCTGAGCTGTCAGCACAGAGCCCGATGTGGGGTTTGAACCCATGAACTGCGAGATCATGACCTGAGCCAAAGTCAGAGGCTTAACCGACTGAGCCACCCAAGCGCCCCTCAAAGAACGTTTTCAAGTGAGTCAATTTACACTACGTTGCTGGCTTAATACTAAGTTGCTGGCTTAATGCCCTACCACCCCTAAATACTTCAGTGTATACTTTCTATAAATAAGAACATTCCACTAAAGCACCACAATTAAATTAGACCATTAATACTGATACAGGACTATCCTCTAATCCTCAACCCCCATTCAAATTTCAATCAAAGTTCCAATAATGTCCTCTGTAGCAAAAGCAAGCCTTGATCATTTGCATCAAGGAATGGGTGAGTCTTATCTAAATTGTTAAATTAACATAAAATTGTTCATAATACCTTCCTATAATCCTTTTAATACCTGTAGTAGTGATGTCACTTCTCATTCTTGATATTGGTAATTTGTGTCTTCTTTTTTTCCTGATCAATCTGGCTAGAGACTTTAATTGATTCTTGCTTTGATTTTTTACATTCTCTTTCTTCTGCTTATTTTGGGTTGAATTTACTCTGTTTCTTTTCTTTCTTTTTTTTTTTTAAAGTAGGCTCCACACTCAACATGGGGTTTGAACTGATGACCCCAAGATCTAGAGTCGCATGCTCTACTGACTGAGCCAGGTGCACCTTGCTCCTCTTTTTCTAGTCTCTTAAGGTAATAGCTGAAGTCACAACCTTGACAATTTTGAAGTGTACAAGACTCTTGAATGTTCCTCAATTTGAATTTGTCCTATGATTAAATTTGAGTTATACATCTTTGGCAGGAATATCAAGAAGTAAAACATATTTTTATCATTGTTACATTTTCTCAAGAGGTGGTGCATGATTTTGAATGATTCCATTATATTAAGTTTATATATTTATTTTGAGAGTGAGCGAGCACGCACGTGAGCAGGGGAGGGGCAGAGACAGAATCCCAAACAGGCTTTGAGCTGTCAGCACACAGCCCAGTGCGGGGCTCAATCTCATCAACCAGGAGATCATAACCTGAGCCAAGATCAAGAGTCTGACACTTAACCAACTGAGACACGCAGATGCCCCTTCCCACTTTTAAATAAAGTTGACTGGAATACTTTTATAAGAAGAAAAAAAAGGAAAGAATATTGGACTGGAAGGGGAGAAGCATGGAGAATCAAGAGCAGGAAGATGGACATCATCATCAATTACAGTCACAGTTCAATTATCTACCTGGCTCACTTACACTGGGAATGTTAGGTCCCACCCTGGGAATGATGGTACACTACCTTTAGCATAGCTCCCTTTATGGGCAACAGAATAAAATGTGTGCAGAAAATCAAACTGCTACAATATGGCATGAGGTCCAATATCTAACCCTCATACTTAATTCAAAGTAAGAAGTATCCTAGGCAGAGGTAAGTAATTCATAAATGCTTTAGACACTTTCTACCTAAGGTAAATATAGTAATCAGACATATTTTACATGTTTAACAAATACTCATTAAATATTGGACATAGATACCTGAAAATTAGCATCACAGTGCAAAATTATTTTAGGCAATTTAACAAAGCAAATATAATATACCTAAGGAACAATGCTTACCTAGTTCAATACATGTTATTCCAAGAGACCATACATCTACTTTGCCATCATACTGTCCTTCATCCATGGCTAAAATTACTTCTGGGGCCATCCTAAAACATAAAATGACATTTAAATTAAAAGCAAAAAAAGGTATACTATGCTTTTTTTTTAATGTTTATTTATTTATTTATTTAGAGAGAGATAGAGCACAACGAGCAGGGGAGGGGCAGAGAGAGAGGATGAGAGAGAATCTCAAGCAGGCTCCGAGTTGTCATCACAGCTTGTCATCAAGCCGAAATCAAGAGTCTGACACTTAACTGGCTGAGCCACCCAGGTGCCCCAGTATACTATTCTTTAAAAATATAATGACCATCTACATAGAGAACACCTGTGTGAATTCTAGACGAATTCTAGACATTATGTCTGGATGTAAGAATTTTTATAATGAGAAATAAATGCACCACAGGCTGTCAGGTAAATATTTACCATTGCATATATAGTGTGAGACTCACTCTCCCCATTTGTCATGATCATGTAACAGCATCCTAAAGAAAGGATGCCCCAGAGCAGGGCTGCATACTGTAACATTGTATAATTCTTGGGCTAGTAAGTCTTAACTATTTTGATCTCAGGATCCCACTACAAAAGTCTGATTTATGCTTGAAAGATGGAATTTCATCATTGACAATACTGTCAGTTGTTTTCCTTCATGTGACAAGCTCACTCCATGCATTTAAGAAAATATCTGCCACAATAACCAACACCGAATAACAATAGTTTGTCAGTCTTCCTTTTAAATAGGAACAGTGCTCCATGATACACATGGCTAGAGTAGCTCATAACGAAGACAATTACACAATTATCAACCTTACAGGTAGGTGTCTTGGTTATAAAATGGAACATAAATTCATGTTTCCAATTAGACATTTTTTTAAAACTGTTTTTTAATGTTTATTTTTGAGAGAGAGCGGGAGAGACAGTGTGAGTGGGGAAGGGCAAAGAGAGAGAGAGAGAGAGGGAGACACAGAATCCAAAGCAGGCTCCAGGCTCTGAGCTTTCAGCACAGAGCCTGAGGCAGAGCTTGAACTCGCAAACTGTGAGATCATGACCTGAGCAGAAGTCAGACGCTTACCTGACCGAGCCACCCAGGCGCCCTTAGAGTCTAAACTTTTTTGATGGTACTATACTTCATCTGTTTTTGGTGTTAAGCACAGACTGACCCTTAGAACAGTTGCTAATGTTCACTAGGATTGTCACCAGACACCCCAGTGTATGTGAGTGTGTGTGTCTGCATGTAAGTGTAAAGACATCCAAATATGTACCTCGTTACTATGCTCCAAATTCTCTATATACAAATTAACAAGTATGTAAATAAAGTAAATTTTCAATGGTCAATAGAAGAGTGTTTCCAAGGTGTTCTTTAAAATGTTGAAGTAAGTTTGGGAAATTACTAAGTTAAGGAGAGCTAAACAGGGTAATTTTGTTTTTTATTTGTAGAACTTTTCAGGGCTTTTTTAGTATCTAATATTCATCATTAATTTCTAAACAGAAGAATCATTAAGAAATATTATTTGCTCACAGAACCCTTTTTATAGAAGGGAAATGGACTCTATCTAAACTAGAGTTCTACATAAGAAATTTTTGATCATCTAGAGCAGTGGAAGAGAAAAACTCTTCAAGTTTTTAATTTGTTTACCTCCAATGAATTTATGAAATCTATTTATCCCCTTGTATACTTTTACATTCTCTATATTTTATAATTTAATAGCTACAAAGGATATAATGTGCAGTTTATGTATATACTTTATATTGTATATGTGATTTAAAGATATTTAAAACGTGGAGTTACAGAGTTGTTTTATTAAACAGCAGTAACAACAACACACTGCTGTGTGGCCAAATTACCAAAGCCAGTCTTCACTGTCCTATCAATCAGTCAAATCAGAATCACTTTCTGTCAAAAAAGTCTGACTTCATTTTCAATGCCAACATGTTAATGTGTCCCTATGACAGCCATCTCAGTTATGAATTTTACACTAGAAAAAAAGAAGGGAGAGAAGATAACTGGGGAGAGAGAAAAAGCAAGGAGTAAAAGGAAGGGGAGGAAGAGGACTCGAAAGGGACAAGGGCTTGCTAAGACTTTGTATCCTGACTCTTCAGTATTTCTGATAATTACTATACATTCTCTCAAATTGTACTTCTGCTATTGCTTTGAGGCTATTACATCCCAGACCAACGCATCATTGTAATATTCAGGATGGGTAAGAAGTCCTTCCTTTATAAAGTGAGAGAGGGAGATTTGGAAAGTGGGTGGTAAAGAAGATGTAGTGGACCTAAGACATCACTCTCACCATACACAGAGAACATGTGGGAGTTGAAGATCTGGACAATTATTTCCTTCAAACTTGCTGACATTAATAACAAATTATTTATGGATAAAATAGATGATGCCTAGAATTTGCTTCATAATAACTGGTAGTGGGTGGGGGAGGTGGGGAGGAAGGAGAGAGAAATGAGTACATAGGGCAGGACTTTATTGGGTTGGGTGACTGGTATGTGAGGCTTCATTACACTTTTGTCTACTTTAATGAGTATGTGAAATTCTTCATAATTAAAAATAAAACCAAAAAACTCCAAATCAGCTATCAGCCTTCAGATACTCCTAGTCTGAAGACACAGTAAGTATCAATCTAAAGAACACACAGAAATTTCCACTTAGCATTTCTATCTTCTCCTCACTTGGATTTCATTGAATTTTTTCACTCCCACACCCAAAATATGATGCAGGTTATAATATGGAAGAAAATATCAAGAGGACAAATGAAAAAACAGGAGATCCAAGGGCAGCACTCCAAATCTGTATTTGAAACTAACTAGGTTTAAAGTTAAGATGTCCAAAATAACATTATATTACCAGGAAAAAGATAAGACATCTGAAAAAGTATCACCACACATCGCCTATTTCAATTACGAGGATCAATAGCAAAGAGGATTATTCTTACCAATATGGCGTTCCCACAAAAGAATTGGCAGGAGATGCCATGGAAGCTGATCCAAAGTCAGCAAGTTTCACCTGGCCTGGTTCTGTCAGAAGGATATTTCCTGCTTTGATATCTCTGGGTTTAAGGAACACAGAAAATTATTTCTCTTTCCTTCATTAGATTATGTTGAGATGATAAAAATCAAATAAAAGTTTTTAAAATAGGGAAGGAGAAATCAAAAGTCCTTGGATAATCTCTCAATTAGGACAAGGAGATGTAAGATCCACATTAGAAAACAAGAAATACGGAAGTAATATAAATATACAGTAACAATTTTCTAAAAGAGAACACAAAATGGCAGTAAAAACAAGACAGAAAAATCAAGTAATTAGAGCATAGTTTATATTTGAGTTCCCGTTTATTGTTGCAAATAGTGGTTTTAAAAATGGAATTTAATTAGCTGACCACTCCATAATAATATATACTATATATAGTATAGTATATAGTACAGTATAGTATAACATAATATAATAATATAATTTGAGTACACCATTTAATGAAAGAAAGAAAGAGAAATTTCATACCCAAAATTTTTTTAAAGGTTATTCTTCTCATTTCCAAACCTTAGCATAGTTCTAACTAAACATGAAATGAAAACTGAAGCACACAGATAATATAGTATCCAAAGATCCCAAATTTATTTCCAAGCTTACTTTTTAAAGTCAGCAAACATACTGTTCATGCAAAATAAGAAAATTAGGAGTATTTATATAATGGGATTATATGTCCAACTGGCACCATAACATACATTTAACCTTTCAAAAAAAATTCCAAGCACTTGTCAATTCTTACTATAGTATTGTAATGGATATAATATTAAATAAATCTTTCTCCTTCCACTTATTTTTTAAAGTTTATTTATTTATTATTTTTTTTAACGTTTATTTATTTTTGAGACAGAGAGAGACAGAGCATGAACGGGAGACGGGCAGAGACAGAGGGAGACACAGAATCGGAAGCAGGCTCCAGGCTCTGAGCCATCAGCCCAGAGCCTGACGCGGGGCTCGAACTCACGGACCGCGAGATCGTGACCTGAGCTGAAGTCGGACGCCCAACCGACTGAGCCACCCAGGCGCCCCTAAAGTTTATTTATTTATTTTTGAGATAGCATGCACGCGCAGGGGATGGGCAGAGAGAGAGAGGCGAAGGAGAATCCCAAGCAGGCTCTATGCTGTCAGGACATGGGGCTTGGATCCCAAGAACTTGAAGATCATAACCTGAGCCAAAATCAAGAGTTGGACACTTAACCAACTGAGCCACCCCAGTACACCATCCTTCCACTTGTTTCTTGAAAGAGGAGAGGTACTTTATGTTGATAAGACCTTAGTTTCTAATTCCAACTCTTCCATTCACTTATTTATTAGCATGTGGATTTCTCTTGGACCTTACTATCCTCATCTAAAAAATGATAAGCCATTTAACTCACAGTGACTCTACTATATAGTTTAATATGTATTGCCTGGTTCACATATATGAAAAAAAAGAGCTAGTTTCCTTCTAAAATAGACAAAACCTAAATCAATGCTAAAAATATATTATAAAAGTTCAGTTTTTTTGTTTTTTTTTTTTTTGAGACAGCAAGAGTGAGACAGCATGTGAGTGGATGGAAGGACAGAAAGAGAGGTGACAAAGAATCCCAAGCAGACTCCCCAGTGCCAGCACAAGCCCGGTGGTATGATGGAAGCTCGAGCCTGACACGAAGGTGGATGCCACGAACCGTGGGATCATGACCTGGGCCAAAAGAGTCAGATACTTAACTGACTGAGCCACCCAGACTGCCCTAAAATAGTTTGTTTAATCTTAAAGTATTACCCATGATTATGGATTATCAAGGATTAATGCTCAACAGCATAAAGAGTGTTCAGTCTATGTTGTGGGATCAATGGCACAACTCTAGCATTATCAGTTACTGGAAGGACAAAACACCTAGATTTAGTTCTAGTCTAGTTTATTTGGCTTTGTAAGCACTTCGGAAAAAGTAGTCACGAATTGGGGCTTCAATTCCTTTATTTGTAAAATCAAAAAAGGTAAGACTATATAATCCCCAATGTCTTTTCCATTTTACAAATTAAATGATGCTACAATTAAATTCCTACCACAATCTATAAAGTGCACATATGTCCGAAAACCCAGTAACACATGCAGACAAAGATAAAAATAAACCTAAAGGGAGATCAAATGTTTGTAGGACAACCTAAAAAACATATGTTTTTAAGATTCTGAAATGCTTTTATTTGGCTACAACCAACACAATTTACAGGGTTAATAAGTTCCAGGGTTGATAAACGCAATAAGCCATTTGCTGCTAATACATAATAATTTTTAAAGTGCTTACCTATGGATCATGGTATGAGAATGTAAGTAGGCTAATCCCTGGAGAGCACCATGTGTAATTGCTGCTATTTCCACTTCTTGTAATGGCTTTTTGTGAACTTAAAATAAGAATTTATTGGAAAATAATTACTATACAGAATATTTTTGTTCAAAAAGATAAACATATCTAATATATGTGGCTATTTTTGAAAACTAACATTTAATAAGAAGATTTACTTCCCAAGACAATAAAACAAGGCTATTGAACTTTATAATTAGTATTACAGTTGTGCTTAGCTGTTAAGTAAATAATTCACAGCCAATTTTCCCCTAAGCTAACAACATGTAAGAATTAGTTGATTATAAAAACAAAAGTAACAGAAGAGAAGTTCTCCCTTTATTCTCACACATCTTCATTCTGAACAGAAGGGACAGATTAAGCTAAATGACAAAGAAGGAAGAAAAATGCTTGTTACAAAGTCATAATGTAAGAAAACTCACCTAGTTTTGCTACTACAGAATAGTGCATACCATGCTAAGAACCTACAAAAGGCTAAGGTTCTTACTCTTTGTGGAAAGCTTTTATAGTATTTAAGAAAATCATACGGAATTCTCATTTTATTTTGTTAATAATTTTTACCCTTAATAATTAAAGGAAACCTACCTTCCAGTAAATCTGAAGCAGATCCTAAGCAATATTCCATTACCAGCTACATAGGAAGAAAAATTATAAAAGCATTAAATTAGTAAAAAGATTCTATTTGAGATAAAATAAATTCACCAAGGAGATCAAGAACATGGTTTGATGTCAAGCAAACACTAGTCATCATTTACCTTAAAAAAAAAAAAATTATACATTTAACAATTTGTTAAATGATAGAGTTAAGCCAATGATACATTAATTTTTTTATGCCAACATATAATCACATGTATAAGATGTGTATTTCATTCATACTTACTAACTAAAACTATAAAGGAATATAGTTACTTGTTAGGAATTACTGTTAGGAAATGGAAAACTGTCCTCTGGATCTATATGCACAAAGTTTAGGTTACATTTAAATGTTTCTTTAAAGCAAACGCAGAGCACCTCCTGTGGGTCAGGTATCTTATGTACATTAACTAATTTAATCCTCACAACCACCTTATAAGGTAGGCCCTATTATTACCCTTGGGGATCATTTCTGTTAAAAGAAAATGTGGCCTTTTCCTCTTTAAAGATGCAGTTACTATGCCTATATCACTGCTGGATTACTGCTTTGTCACCTCAATGGTAACAAGACAAAATTAATCTCTACCCTTTGTAATAAAGTGTCTCAATTCTCTACAGTTAGTATTATTCAGCCAAGGAATTATAATCAGTTCATACTTCACCAAGAGTCACTAAGACTTCACCAAGATCTTTGTGGTTAAATAGATTACAATATATTTATGTCAAAAAGGTATGCTAACTTTCATCATTGAATAATAGCATTGTTTTTACAATGTTTGATAAACCATTTGAAAAATGATGCTACTAAAAAATGTCAGAGAGCAGTTTACCATGCACATAAAGGTCAGTTAAATCTCTGTAGTAAACTTGCAAAAGTTCTATTATCTCTTATTGCCAAGGAGTTCTAAGAAAAGCTGCTCTTCCTCTCTTAGAATGAACTAACATTTCAAGGTGTTTTTGCATGGCTTTACACAACTATTTTGAAACATTCTTGAATTAATTAATTCTAAACCAAAACCAACTAAATTACAGCAAGGGGAGAAAACACCTACCCATGCTGTGTGCTCACGTAAATAGCAGCCTTTGTATTCTATACTGTTGGGATGTTTTATTCTTTGTAGAAACTTGACTTCCTTAATAATATCCTGCCATTTCTGTGGGGAGAAAAAAAGGAATAAAAGAAAGAATTATGAAAAGTTGCTTTCCTTTAGAAAGCTATATAAGAAAAAAAGGAATAACTAGAGTAAGCAGGGTTAATGCTTTATTTGTAATATTTAAATATCAAACTAACAAATTTAAAAGAAATCACATTTATATACTTTAAACTCAATTATATAATTTATAAAAGTATTTTATTCAAGGTAGAACAAATTTTAATTTGATAAAATTTATCATCAATGAGTATCATTAAAATTTTACAACCACACACCAAGGATGTTGATAAAAATTACATGCTATATTTAGTGATTTTTCTTCAGTTCAGCTTCCCCTTTCTTATTTGCAGCTTTACTAACATATAATTTACATCTCATAAAGGTGATCTATTGTGTTTCTGGCTTATGTCTTGTACCAAATATTAAGATTGTTTGTTTTTAAAACTCAAATAATTACTGTTCTATTTAAATTCCTAAATATATACTTGCTAAATGCTAGCAAACAATTGTTATTATGTAGGAAAGTTCACAGAAAAAGCAAGCTGTATGAAAACATTTTCTTACAAATTTTACTTAAGAGCCTTCTTCACTGACAGCTATGAGGAAATACAGATAAATCTTTGGACATAAGCTACTCCAAGACAACCTTAGACACTTTCATCATATCCTAAACATACTTACTCTTAAGAAGCAACCAGACAACTCTGAAAAAACAGGTCCTTGGGTCAAAAAATCAAAGAATCTAAGGGTTTAGTAGATGTGGGAAGGAAACTAGGAATCTGCTTTTGGCTCTTGTTCAAGGTTTTCCACTAACAGGCCACATTTCTTAAGGCAGGGAAACTAGCATAATAGAAAAGTTTAAGGAATGTTTTGTACTAAAATTTAAGATCATGCATTTCCTATTTTATTTCACAAGTCCTCAACAAAATACAGTGAAATATGTACAGTGTTTTATATAAAATGTGTATGATACAAGATCCTAAATTCAGAAAATATTTCATGGGCTTTAAATTTCATATTTGAATGCTCTGGAACACAAATTCAGAACACAACAAAGCCAGTATTCGTAAACGGAGAAAAGACTTTCATGAGGACTATTCCTAACATTCTTGAAGGAGTATTAGATGTGAAAAGATGATACACTAAAATGATTCTTTCTTCTAGGTGTAACTAATCAAACAGACGCCAACACAGTACCAGTCTGCTGTGAAAACTACTTCTGAAGTTGTGCTATAGAAATGGCAAATAAAATTAGACTGAACTTATAAGAAATGGAATTTTTTTAGGAGTTTTAGGAATTTTTAGAAGATTTTTTTTTGGCATCAAAATAATGGAAAAATGAAATAATCAGTAGTGTTACCTTACCCATTGTACGATCTTCACAAAACCCTGATTTACCATAAAATAGAGATTCCAAAGGTATAGAAAACCAAAATGTTTAAAAAGTGAAGACTAACCCAGCAATTCCACCTCTGGGCATACACCTGAAATTACGGAAAGCAGAGATTCACAGAAGTATTTGTATATCCAGGTTCATAGCAGCACAATAACTAAGTGGTGGAAGCAACCTAAGTTTCCACTGACGAATGGATGGGTAAACAAAATGTGGTCGTTTATACACACATACAGACAACTATCCAACCTTAAAAAGGAAGCAATTCTGACACATATTATAACAAGGATTAACTTTGAGAACGTTATGTTAAGTGAAATAAGCCACTCACAAAAGGGCAAATACTGCATGATTTCACTTATGTGAGACACCTAAAGTAGTCAAATTCCTAGAGACAGAAAGTAGAGTAATGATTTCCAAGGGAAGGAGAGAATGGGGGATTATTGTTTCGTGGGTACAGAATTTCAGTTTTCCAAGATGAAAAGAGTTCTGGAAAAGAATGGCCATGATGACTGCATGACAATGTGAATGTCTTCAATGCCATTGAACTGTACATTTAAAAATGGTTAAAATGTTAAATTTTGTTAAATGTATTGTATCGCAATTACAATAACTAAATTTAAAAATTAAAGCCTAAAGATTCTGTATTTAAAAAACTACATGTTATAAAATGAATTCATATAATAAATAGAATAAATACAATCTGACAAGAACTAATTGAGTAATAGAGAACTAAAGTGGTATCAATGTAGAATCAGTAATTTTATTTTTTGTTTCTCAAATTATTACACACTGCCCATTTTTCAGACTATACTGCCTGTTGATTATTAAAGTTTGTTTAAAATAAGTCTTACACAATTTCTAAACCACTAAAAAATTATACTCAATATAACTTATTGTTAAATGTATCTTACTCTAGTTTACCTCCTCAGAAACTGGTAATTTCTCTATGATAGAGTTATGTATTAAACCACAGTTTAAAAAAGTAATAAGCTCACTTCAGCAGCACATATACTAAAAAATTAAAAGCAAGGGACACAAGCTGGAAGGCTTTTGGCATGCCACAAATGTCCTGTTTAAGGTTCTAGGCACAATTTTAATGGGTATATTTAGTTTCTGAAAGAAAATTCACTGCGATAGACACTTAATATTTCTACACTTTTCTTTAGGTACGTTTTTACGTTTCTGAAAGAATTCCCATCTACCCCTAATTAAAACCAGTATGTCATTCTCTAACATACCAGTAAGAATGTATATATTTCACCCACCTCAGTAGACTGCTTCCCACTGTAAGACATTTTCTTGATAGCCACCACTTCATTGGTGCGCACATCTCGTGCCTAAAAAAATAAAGGACCGTTGTGAAAATGAACACAATAAATCAGGGCAATTATTTATCTCTCTGAGCATAAAAGCATTTATAAGCTATCATATCAAAAAGGACATCAAAAGTGCTTTCAAATACCTTAAAAAATAATAAATATATATGAAAACTTATCAAATTATCCAGGAGCTCATACTTTGGAAAGAAAAATAAAGCAAGTTTATTTTTAGTGATCTACTTGAGAGAAAAAATATAGAAATTTTAATAGTACTATAAACAGAAAGAAAACAAGACTAGTTAGTATATGTAAGTCTATGCTAATCGATTTTGAAATCTCAATGAAATGGACAGTTTTCTAGGTAAGAATAAAACTGATCTAAAGAAAAAATGTAAAAAAAAAACAATGGTGGCAGATTGAATACCAATTAATTATCTTTAAAATAGTCTTAAGTGGAAAATAGTTTTACCAGGGGAAATTTCCAAGATATAAGTGGGAACAAAGGAAAAGATATCCCATTAGTTTTATGAAGGCAGTATAACCCAATAACTAAAACCTCACAAACAGCACAAAATAGAGTACCAATTTTGTTTGAAAATATAGATAAAAGCTCTAAATAAAATTTAAAAACCAAATATTACATGGCATTAAAAGAAATTTTCATTTGGATAAAATATACTACAATCATATAAATGCAAAAGACTCTGATAATAGGAAAGCACTTCATCATTTCAATTTTTTTTAAGTTAAAGGGCAAAAATATTATGTAAATGCTCAATAAATGCTAGAAATGCAGGAAAGGCCGAATGCTAAATGTACTCAGCTGCAGGAAAGGTAAAATTCCTGGCAAACCCAGATGAGAAAGGTAATTCCTCAACATGACAAATCATGTCTATTGTAAACAACTGCTAATCAGAATTAGAATGCTACAATGATATCACAATTATTTACCATTCTTATGGAACTTCTGAAAAAAGTAATAAAAATGTAACAGAAAGACAATTTTTAACTCTTGGAAAGGAAGGCCAAACTCTTACTATATGTATATATACACACACACAGTATTGAGTTCATAAAAGGGTCAAGACCATCTCAAATCACCTGTGGAAGAAATGATCTTCAGTTTAGACTTTAATAAATTCCAAAAGGTCAAAATACTCTAAAATTAATTGTGATGACAGCTATAACTCCTATTTGCTAAAATCATTGGAATGCACAATTAAAGTTGGTGAACTTACGGTATGTAATTCATGCCTCAAAACTTGTTAAAAAAATAAATAGCACATATGTAAATTATACCTCTACAGCATTGCTTTAAAAACTTTTCAAAAAAAGACACTGTTTGGGGGGCGCCTGGTGGCTCAGTTGATTAAGTGTCCAACTTTGGCTCAGGTCATGATCTCATGATTCCTAAGTTCAAGCCCTGCGTTAGGCTCTGTGCTGACATCTGGGAGCCTGGAGCCTGCTTCGGATTCCGTGTCTCCCTCTCTCTCTCTGCCCCTCCCTGCTCGCTCTCTCTCTCTCTCTCTCTCTCTCTCTCAAAAATAAACATTAAAAAAATTTTTTTAAATTTTTTTAATGGAACTATATGTGGTCTTTTGTGTTTGCTCCTTTCATTTAGCATAATGTTTTCAAGATTCATGACTAATGATGTTAAGCATCATTTTTTGTGCTTCGTGGCCATTTGCGTATCTTCTTTGGAGAAATGTTAATTCAGATCCTTTACCCATTTTTAAATTGTCTTTTCATGACTGAGTTATAAGAGTTCTTTATATTCTAGACAAATCCCTTATCAGATATGTGATTTAAAAATATTTTCTCCTGTTTTGTAGATTGTCTTTCAAAGTTTTGAAACACAGAAGTTTTTTTTATTTTGATGAAGTCCAGTTTTTGTATTTAAAACATTTTTTAATGTTTTATTTATTTTTGAAAGAGAGAATGTGAGCAGGGGAGAGACAGAGGGGGACAGAGAATCGGAAGTGGACTCTGTGTAGACAGCAAAGAGCTCAATGTGGGACTTGAACCCATGAACCATGAGATCATGACCTGAGCTGAAGTCAAGACGCTTAATTGACTGAGCCACCCAGACGGCCCTATCTACTTTTTTTTGTCGCTCATGCTTTTGGTGTCATATCTAAGAATCCTTTGCCAAAACCAAGATTGTGCAGATTTACCCCTATGTTTTCTTCTAAAGTGTTATAGTTTTAACTATTACATATAGGTCTTTGATCCATTTTGGGAAAAAAAATTTTTTTAAGGTTTATTTTTTATTTTTGAGACAGAAAGAGAGCATGAATGGGGGAGGGTCAGAGAGAGAGGGAGACACAGAATCTGAAACAGGCTCTAGGCTCTGAGCTGTCAGCACAGAGCCCGACACGGGGCTAGAACTCACAGACCGCGAGATCATGACCTGAGCCAAAGTCAGATGCTTAACTGACTGAGCCACCCAGGCGCCCCTCTTTGATCCATTTTGAATTTTTACATATGGTATGAAGGATCCAATCTCACTGTTTTGCATTAAACAGCTGCACTTTTTAATTAACCTAAGATAAAGCTTGATTTAAAAGTGGGTATACTAGGGGCGCTTAGATGGCTCAGTAGGTTGAATATATGACTTCAGCTCAGGTCATGATCTCATAGTTCATGGTTCAAGCCCCGCAATGGGCTGTGTGCTGACAGCTCAGAGCCTGGAGCCTGCTTCAGATTCTATGTCTCCCTGTCTCTTTGCTCCTCCCCTGCTTGTTCTCTTTCTCTCTCTCTCTCTCTCAAAAATAAGTAAACATTAAAAAATAAAAGAGGGTATACCAAATGCAAATCAATATTCTGGATCAGATTCCAAAAACAGAAGAGACAGTAGTTTTAAAAACTGGAAAACTCTGAGTATCTGGTTTATAGTATCATTTGATCAATATTGATTTCTTAGTTGTGATAAAGGTAATGTTGATAAAACATTATATAACATGTTAACATTAAGATAAATGGGTGAAAATTACATGGAAAGGGGCGCTTGGGTGGCTCAGTCGGTTAAGCATCTGACTTCAGCTCAGGTCATGATCTCACACTCCGTGAGTTCAAGCCCCACGTAGGGCCCTGTGCCGACAGCTCAGAGCCTGGAGCCTGCTTCGGATTCTGTGTCTCCCTCTCTCTCTGCCCCTCCCCTGCTCATGCTCTCTCTCACTCTCAAAAATGAATGTTAAAAAAAATTTTTTTAATTAAAAAAAAAAAGAAAATTACAAGGAAAAACTCTTTACTGTAACTGCAAAATCTTCTGCAATGCTAAGATATTTTATAATAGTAAATTAAAGGGGCTACTGGGTGGCTCACTCAATCATCCAACTTCGGCTCAGATCACGATCTTGTGGTTTGTGAGTTTGAGCCCCGCATCGGGCTCTGTGTTGTTGACAGCTTAGAGCCTGAAACCTGCTTTGCATTCTGTGTCTCCCTCTCTCTCTGCCCCTCCCCTGCTCACGCTCTGTGTCTGTCTCTCAATAATGTTAAAAAAGTTTCTTAAATAAAATAGTAAATTAAAAAAATGAGTATAATTTATTAAAATCCAAACTTATTAGTAATGATTACATTAAAATTAAATGACAAAATGAGATCCTTTGCCTATTATGTCTAAAAATAAAAATATGTAATGTCTACAAATGTTTTTCTCTCCTTTGGGACCACATGTTGTGCTTCCTCATCATGCCTTATTAGTCTCCTCTAATCTAGAACAATTCCTCAACCTTTGTCTTTTATGACACTGTCATTTTTTTAAAAATATGCAGTGATATTTTATAGAATGTTATTAAATTTGTGCTTGTCTGGCATTTCTTCAAGATTAGATTCTGGTTATACGTCCTTGGCCAAAATACTACAAGAGTAATATCGTGTCCTGATTTTCAGGGTTTCACATCTGTAGGTATACAAGGTCTGTCTGTTCCTCCTTGATGTTACTAATTTTTATAACCCACTCAAGCACTGTCTCTTCTTTTCCAATGTATACAGTTAGAGTTACTATTTTCTACCTTGTATCTAACAAGGAATTTGTGAAGAGATGTTTTTTTTAAGTTTATTTATTTATTTTGAGAGACTGAGCACAAGCAGGGGAGGGGCAGAGAGAGAATCCCAAGCAGGTTCCGCACTGTCAGGGAGGGGCTCGCTGTGGGATCATGATCTGAGCCAAAATCAAAAGTCAAAGGCTTAACCTACTGAGCCACCCAGGCACCACTGTGGAGAGATACTTTTAAATCACGTAAACATCCTGCTCCAAAAACTTTTCCCCTAGATTACCAACCACTGAAGTTTCTAGCCCCAAACAATCTTCACTATGATGATTACAAAATGCTGATTTTTTCCAACTCTACCATTCCCTTCACATTTAACAGTCAGCATTCTGTTATAAGGAAAAGCCCTCCTTTTTTTTTTTTTTAATTTTTAATGTTTATTTATTTTTGAGAGAGACACATAGGGAAAAGCCCTCCCTTTTTATTCATCCATCTATTATCTGTCATGGAAATGATGGATTCCTATTTTTATTCAATGGGCTATAATCGATTACCATTACAATTTTTTTAATGCTTATTTACTATTGAGAGAGAGAGAGAGAGAGAGAGAGAGAGAGAGAGAGAGAGATACAGAGTGAGCAAGCAAGTGGTAGAGAGAGGGAGACAGAATCCGAAGCAGGTTTCAGGCTCTGAGCTGTAAGCACAGAGCCTGCTACTGGGTTTGAACTCACAAACTGCGAGATCATGACTTGGGCTGAAGTCAGTTGCTTAACCGACTGAGCCACCCAGGTACCCCAATCCATTACCATTTTATATTGATGCTCAAATAATTCCAGATTTGGCCAGTGGGAGCCCCCTCACTCTGGTTTCATGTCCTTTTGCCAGGCCCCATCTTTTTTTTTCTAAAGCACTTTTTAACTTTCTGGCACAAGATTTTCTAAGGCTTATCTTTTAATGTTCTAGCCCTGAAACAGAATGAGCCATTACTCCAAGGAGCTCTTGTTCAGTTTAGTGAGGAATTCAAGA